CTCAGTCCCCGCAGCTATACAAGCAAATGTGCATTTGTTCCGATTTCGAGCGCGTCTTCGAAATTGCTCCAGGTAAGAAAGCAAATTAATGCATAGATAGATAGGGGCGCATATAAATATATACGGAATATTGAATGCAATTTTTTGGTTGTATTTTGTCATTCAGTCTTCCGTGCCGAAGATTCCAATACTCATCGTCACATGACCGAATTCACGGGGCTCGATCTGGAGATGGCATTTGAAGAGCATTATCATGAAGTACTCGACATTCTTGACGAACTTTTTGTCTTCATCTTCAATGGCCTGAAGACACGATATGCGTCCGAAATTGAGACGGTGAGACGTCAATATCCATCGACTGATTTCGAATACCATCCAAAAACTCTGAAATTGGAATACAAAGATGCAGTTCAGTTGTTGAGGGAGAATGGCGTCGAAATTGGCGATTTCGAAGACCTCAGGTTTTCTAACGTTACTCTGGATTATGACTTTCTGCTTTACGTCAACTGTTCCAGTGTTAAATATCGTTGCGACTTTTAAATATAGCACCGAGAAGGAAAAGTTACTCGGTAGATTGGTCAAAGAAAAATATAAAACAGATTTTTATATGCTTGACAAATTTCCTTTGGCGGTTCGTCCCTTCTACACCATGCCGGATTCTGGCGACGAAGTATCTACCATTCTAAACTGTTTCTTTTAGTTAAAAGGACAAATCATGTATTTCAACGTCTACTTTACAATTTTTTTTAGCAATATTCTAATTCGTACGACTTTTTCATGCGCGGTCAAGAAATCCTCTCGGGTGCACAACGTATTCATGATCCCACGTTCTTGGAAGAACGCGCGAAAGTACACGGTATCGATCTACGCACAATCCAACCCTACATCGATTCCTTTAAGAGAGGTGCGCCACCTCATGCTGGAGGAGGCATCGGTAGGTCATATAAGAAAGGTTTCTAGTGTGAGACATTTTTTATTAAAAAAAAAAAACTTTTTTTTCCTTCTTTCTTTTATTTAGGCTTAGAGCGCGTTGTTATGTTTTACTTAAATCTCGATGACATACGCAGAAGTTCACTGTTCCCTCGCGATCCAAAGCGTCTTGAACCATAAAAGAATTTTTATTGTTTTGTATTCATAGTAGTCGTATAGAAAACGTTTTAAGCGTGATATTAAATCATTAAATAAAAAAAACGACTTATAATTTAATCTGTTTCATTGTTTTCGACCTGTTCGCATAATAGAAAAGAATACAAGAGCTACTAAGATGTTGGAATTGTCTATTTATGATCATCATTATTCATTTTACACCAAATTAACCAATCTTCACTAGAAAACAGAGCCTTCCGGGGGTTGAGGCAGTTTCTTATTGTGTGGGTTCGCCATCTCACTGCCAAAGCAAATGCGCGTGAATATTATAGAAATCGAAGGACTTGCAACAATACATCATAGATAAATAATCAAAGCAAATCTAATACTTTACCGACGTAATTCTGTCAATACAGTCTCTAAATTGTAACTTCTCTTCCAATTAGCAAGGCAACTTAATTTAGTGGGTTCGACCTGAAGCAGGAGGCAAAGAATATTGTGAATTGTGCAAAATTGATCACCGAAAAAAAAAAAAAAAACTCGTGCCGACAGCTGGGTTACCTTTCCCGTTTGCTGGTTTACGCATGGCAAATTGATTCTGGAAAGGAAATGAACGGTCGGCGGGGTGTCGGGGTAATTATCATCACAGTGAAGTTTCAAGCTATAAATACGATTTTCGTGAATGGTCTTTTTGGAGGGGAGAATGAGAAATCGTCAGCATTTGATGATAATTCAAGAATTTGTTTACGAGCGAAAGCACTGCAACTCACATGACCGGGTCCTATGATCGTGCCGTTCCAATCGCTCATATATATATCATCTCCATTTGAAAGTCCGTAGCTACACGTACCGTCGCCAATACCCTTTTCGCCTTTCTCAAGTTCTTCTAGTAATCGGAAATTACGAGGAACTAAAGAAAAGTCGGTAGATATGGTAAACTAGTTGAAAACAATTAGTCGAATACAACCAGGAAGTAAACCTCGGAAGAAAGTTGATTGTGGTCAAACACGAAGCCACACCTAAAGTGTCCCAAAGTGCAGCCTACTTTGCATTCATTAAAACGTGCTCAAAACTGCACGCATTTTGTTGGGAGATCTCGACCAGAATTTAATGGTAGAAGTAAAAATGATTTATACCTTTGGCCATATTTTGAGAGTAAGATATAACGTACAACAAGCGAATTTGTAGGTCGAAGTTA